GGAAAAAAGCTCTAACCAAACAACCCAAAGGCTGTGGATTGGGAGAAGCAAAACCACTTTCCTAGCCAAACGAACTCGTGATTCTTCTCGATTTGTGAAGAATCTTCTTGCCTTCCCCTCTCTTTTCCTTTCTTCAATCAGTTTCCTAGAAGAATCTTCTTGCCCCCTCCTTCTCTTCTCTTCTTCTCTTCTTCTCTTGCCTTTGGTTTCCCCCTGGACCAAATTTCTGCCTTTACCAGCCATGCCTGGGGCCGTGGACTGCCCGCTCGGAGCCGTCCACCGCATCGCGCACGCGAACCTAAGGCGCCGTGAGGGGAGTTTCGGCGGAAGGGAGACCAAAAGGAAACCAACTGGTTTTAAGGGGAGTCCCTCAGTTGAAACGGATCCGTCTCCCAAGTTGCCCTAGCCTTCTTTCTTTCGCTCGCCGGGGCCAACTGCCAAACCTCGTCAACTTGCCCACTGGTCACTGCGCAAATCCCTTGTTCGGTCAAACGTGAACACAGGCGCCAGAAAAACTCACCTCTCATGTTGCGCATCCCTCCCCCAGCCCACCCACACCCTGACGTTGTTGTTTTTTTCGCGCCGGGCCACGTAGTCGAGCACACCCAAAGTGATGGCCTTCACCACACGGCAGTGCTTGAAGGGGTTGATCCACACCAGTCCAGGGCCTCAAGCCGTCAAGGCGCACAGAATGGCAGAAGCTCTGGGAGTCGGTAAGTTACACCCTGGTGTTAGTCCAGACTGGTGCAGCTCGAATCCAGCTTTTGTTTTGTCCGTTTCAAACGGAAGTGGGCAGTCAGGATGGCTCTCCAAAAAATCACGGTCTGAAACCTTGTCAGCCAAAGCATGTCTGTTGGCAGAGGCGCCGTTCACAACGGTCACCGTGGTGAGATGCTGAACCCGGAGCTGCTCGTCCATGCGCAGAAACCGCACCTCGAAGGAAAGCACTGCAAGCATTGGAGAGATTCATGTGGGTAAGTGAACACCATATGGCGTCCCTTTAAACCCGACCCAAAATGGGCCCAACCAAACCAGAAACAAAACAGACACCCAACCACCCCCCACAAAACCACCAAAAGCTCAGTACACCTCGAAAAGAGCACAACCATGTTGCCACAACAAAGGCTGAGGTGGGCACCGGACATAGCATGTTGAGCACGCACTGGAGCAAGATGAGAACGAAGTGCCACACGGAACTGCCAGGGGCTTGGACATGGCCCGGGTGTCAGTTCGCCAACCGGACTCTGTTTGCAAGTTGTTGTTTTTGTGCCGGAAGCCTTCCGGCCCAAGAAAACAACCTGGTGCTGTCGAGCCTCCAAAGAATCAAATCGACTCTGACTCTAGCTCCTCAGCGAAAAAACCTGCCATATATTACTCCCCATCATGAAAGGGGGAGGGGGGGCAAGGTTGCCCCGGTTTTTTGGGGCACCCCCTTTTGTTGGACTCAAACCCATGCGCCCACCTGGGCGTGGCTTCAGCGAGGTGCGCCTCGAGCGGCGAAAAGGGTCGAATCCGAGCGGCTGCAGTGCGACCTTTCCTCTGGGCGCGAAGATTTTGGTGCTTTTGTTTGGTCTGTTTTTTGGTCGCGAAGATGAGGGTGCTTTTCTTTTGCTGTTTTTTTTGCTGTTGTTCCTGACGGAAACCCTTTTTTGTCCACTAACCCCTTGAAACCAGCGTTTGGACGCACTTTCATGAACCAGAAGCTGCGTTGCCTTCTTTCAACCGGTCATGGAATGACTGGGGTTCTCAGCTCTGCTTAGGGCAACTTGGCTTCTGGCCGCCTTCCCAGGATGGTCCAGGCGATGCGCCTCAAGTTGCAAAATGTCGCAGCTTGTTGGAATAAAACTGGCTGTGGGTCAAAAATAGGGACCCAAAATGGAACCCTGGTAAATGGACACATGGACTAAAACCTGCGTAACCCCAGCTGCTTAATTTTGAGCCATACCCAACTCCCTTGCGGAATGTGCTTGTAAACGGCTTGCCGACTCGCCCCAACAATCGGGTCGTTTGGAGCAGTCGAATCGATCACCACGCTCGTATCGGCTAAGTGTGAACAGTCATGCGATGCTGCGACGCTGCAAATCCGCAACTTGGCTCGCTACACAAATGGCCTCATCATCATTCTTGATCTAAAACCAAAACATGGGTGTGTCTTTCTTAGAGACCCCCAAACATGCAAACATGGCGCTTGTCCTTTTGGTGTCCCTTCAAAACCACCACCTGAGCCTAGCCACGCAGAATATTCTGACAGATCTGCAGGTCCGTCCCCCACAGTCACTTGGCGCTCAGCCAGGGCAGCTCTGAGGAAATGAGATACGCAAGTGCGGGCATACTCTGGATGTGCACCTGGGCGCCTTCAACACGTTCGTCCGACATGGTCCACAAATGGCTGTGGGTCAAAAATAGGTACCCAAAATGGCTTGCCCTGGTAAATGGAATCAATGACTAAAACCTGTGGTCCGATTCCTGGTGGTATACTTTTGATCCATACCCACATGCTTGCAGCCCAGGCGCCTCCGAAACCACATCCTGCGGTCTCGGCCTCTGAGGCCTCTCAGTCAGGCTGAAAATTGACCTTGATGGTGCGTTTTTTGTAGGGAATGAGTTTGAATGACCCCTATATACCATTCCCTTTTCGGGAATCCCCAAGGTTCATTCCCAAAACCTGGCTGTTTGAGGGCCCGAACTATATCGGGAGGTCTGGGCGGTGAAACACCTGAGAACCGAAAATTCTCAAAACCTGGCTGTTTGAGGGCCCGAAATTGATCGGGAGCGTCTGGCTGTTTGAGGGCCCGAAATTGATCGGGAGCGTTTGGACGGTGAAACACCTGAGAACCACCGATTCTCAAAACCTGGCTGTTTGAGCGCCCGAAATATATCGGGAGCGTCTGGGCGGTGAAACACCTGAGAACCACCGAAAATTCTCAAAACCTGGCCCGAAATTGATCGGGAGCGTCTGGGCGGTGAAACACCTGAGAACCACCGACAATTCTCAAAACCTGGCTGTTTGAGGGCCCGAAATTGATCGGGAGCGTCTGGGCGGGGAAACACTTGAGAACCACCGAAAATTCTCAAAACCTGGCTGTTTGAGAATTTTCGGTGGTTCTCAGGTGTTTCAGCGCCCAGACGCTCCCGATCAATTTCGGGCCCTCAAACAGCCAGGTTTTGAGAATTTTCGGTTCTCAGGTGTTTCACCGCCCAGACGCTCCCGATCAATTTCGGGCCCTCAAACAGCCAGGTTTTGAGAATTTTCGGTGGTTCTCAGGTGTTTCACCGCCCAGACGCTCCCGATCAATTTCGGGCCCTCAAACAGCCAGGTCTTGAGAATTTTCGGTGGTTCTCAGGTGTTTCACCGCCCAGACGCTCCCGATATATTTCGGGCCCTCAAACAGCCAGGTTTTGAGAATGTTCGGTGGTTCTCAGGTGTTTCACCGCCTAGACGCTCCCGATCAATTTCGGGCCCTCAAACAGCCAGGTTTTGAGAATTTTCGGTGGTTTTATCGCAGCAAGTGAAGCACCCACTGACTCTGAAATTGGATTCACTGGGTTGCATCGATCGAGGCACCAGTACAGCCATGATCAGAAGTATCAGCCACTCACAGGGCGGCCATGGGTCAAAATCCCGTACCCCCAGTGAACATTCCAATTCTCACTAAAATAGACTAACATGGGTGGTGCATCTACCCCAAAATGGGATCCCATTGGTTTTGACCCACAGCCGGGCGGCCGTCTAAAACCAAGAAGAAAAAAAAAAAGGAGAAGAAAAAAGTGCGAGCTCACGGTTCTCAAGGCATGCTCCCCGCCTGAAGACTTCCATCTCGCCTTGCTTCTGGCTCGGCTTCCAGTCCGCACGCCGCCCACAAGTGATGCATTGCTCCTCGGGTAGCGAGTGCACATCCCCCGCCAGCTGACTCAGGACCACCTCTGGCAAAGTCACAGAAAAATGACCCAATGTCCCTGTCTTGACCAGGTCTCCCGGGGTGATTTCATTTTCTATTTTTCTCCCTCTTCCGAGGCTCAGAGTCCAGAGAGTTCTTTTGATTGCAGAGCTTGCAGCTCCATGTGACCGCCATTGCGTCTCATCAGTCGAAGACTCACCCAACTCAGACGCGCTCGCTCGAAAAGCACCAAATGGGTGTGGCTCAAAAATTAAGGGCTGGGGTTACGCAGGTTTTGGTCTTTGTTTCCATCTACAGCCAAATGAACGCCTGGGCTGGGAGCAGAGTCTGTGTGTGTGGTCTGGATGTGGTGAGTTTGGGTGTAGTGGTTGGGTGGGTCAGAGTGATGTGGTGCATATGGTGCAAGAGCGAGTGAGAATGTGCGGCTGAATGAAGCACCATGCAAAATGAGCCATTTGCTCAATTCGCCCTCCTGGCAAAACCGCATCAGCGACTTAGCTTGAGCCTATGCCAGAGACAGTCCAGCTACATGCCAACTCACAGAACGTCGGACGAGGGACATGTTTGCCCTTCCCAAAGTGATCCCTGTTTCTGCATGTCCCATGTACATGCCCTGGTAGTCAGGAAAAGCCCCATATATCTTTTCTTGATCGCTCTCCAGGCCTAACCCCCTAATTCTTTGTGCATGTTACCACCATGCAATCACCAAATTCCTCTTTTTATTCCATGCTCCGTTACCTTGGAGTCCTCTCGGCCTTCCCTGGGAAGCCACAAGACGTCAACCCGGCCTTGCAAAGGTCTGGATCGGATCTGCCCGATGGCTCACAAACTCAAGCTGAATGCCGGCAGTCTGCTGACTAAGTCTTCTTCAGGTTCTCTTTGGCTCAGAGTGTGTACAGCCCAGCCGACTGACGGAAGGCATCTGTTGATCGGCATGAGCATGTTGGCTGTCGAGCCGAAACGGCTGCACAGGCGCTCCTGGTTGGACATGAGCCCAGCTCCCTTCCCAAACCCTGGCCGAAGACTTCGCCAAGCAACTTCGCGCGCAATCGATGAGGCCGAAACACAAAAACGCCAGCGGAAGCTGCGATCGCCCAGCTCCTGCACCACAAGTACATGTAGTCTGCCGATAGCAGGGTGTGGAGGACCTGCGGAGACGCGCTATGCTTCCCTTTGAAACAATCAACTCACTGCTTCAGGGCTGTGGGAAATGACCACTTCTGTGATACGACAAAAAGTACTTCACAAAGACTAAACCCCCATGTAAAGAGGGAGATTCCCTCGTATCACGGCACGGAAGTGGGGACAAAGACCTTGATCCCACAACCGTGCACAACAAATCTGAATACTTCCCTCGATTCCTCAACTCACGGTTTGTTCGCCCAAACACGTCACAAGCTGGGAACCGCAGGTCATGCCCGGCTTGTCGCAAACATAAGCGCCCCACCAACAACAAGCTGGGAACCAAATATTGCCTGCAGTTGTCCTGGTTTGTGGTCGGTGTGCAAGACAAAGCGGCCGGCTCGAAATGAAATCAAATCTTGCTCCTTTTGGCTTTGTTGGGCAGGTTTGTTTTCCAGGCATGGCCAAAAGTCAAATGGACGGGGCCTGGAGGCACAATTGGCCCAAGATGTCTTGCTTGAAGAATGCAACAGGACCGCACCTATTCCTTTCCGCCGCCACAAATGCAAGCATTCCATCGTGATACGCCGCCACAACTGCATTCATTCCATCGTGATACATCCTAAATAGATCAGCATCTGACGGTGGAAAACCACATTGAGGGAGTTGGAACACCAAGTGCCAACTCACAGGTACCCTCCCACCACCGAACATGGAAATGCGCTAAGCCCCTTTCCAAGAGGAAGGAAATCTTTCTACAGGGGTCTGTGCACTTCCACGTTAGTTGGTGGGAGGGTATCGAGCTTCCATTTGATTTCCCTTCAAGCCAACCCCCAACCCCACTGCCCTCACCAAAAAAAAAATGATTAAAAAGAAAAAAACTACGCGAACCCAAAGGCTCCGAAAGCTCCGAAAGGAGTCTGAGCCCGGAGCATCTGCAAAGAAGAGCTGAAGAAAGTGCTCCCCTGGCTCAGGTGACCGGTGAAACGGAAACCCGTTACCACTCAACCAAGAAACAGCCAAAAACCAAAGGAACCGGACGGTTTTTAGTGCCAAGTCTCCAAGTTCAAGCAACTGTCATCCCACGCCCCTGAGTCTCAGCCGGAGCCCTCAGGCTCTCAGGACCCGGCCCAAGAAGTACATCTTCCCCCAGAAGCACATCCGGATAAACCGCGCCACCTCGCGGCGCCCGCAACGAGCGGCAAGAAGCGGCGGGAGAAATGGGAGAAAAAGCCCTCGGTTTTGGAAGCTCGGTCAGAATGGACGACTCTCGGTCAGAATGGTCCGGGGGGCATGAGGCCAGACCCCCGCTATTACAAATGACACACGAAGGCCGCGGCCACACCGGCAGCATTCTCTCCCCCCCCCAAAAAAAAAAAAGCCAAGCGGCAACGATGAGTCCCACCTGAACAGCAGAGCAGACAGGAAAGCTGCAACCACAAACTGCTTGTTTTTCCGCAAATGGTTCCAGTCATGAATCCGGCCAATTGTGGTGCTTTACCAAACGGCAGCAGGTCGTGTTGCTGTTTTCCAGAAACCATCTGGCCAAAATTGACAGCGCCAAGCCACGTAGTGAGACGTCAGCGGCTCCACCTGTCAAACTTTGGCGCCCGGCTGTGCGCTGTGTGTCCGGTCCAGGGGCAAAAGAGACCCTCACCCTCTTCAGCCCTAATTTGCAACTCGGCTTGCCGTATGCCTGGCACAAGTATCAAGTTGCAAATCTGAATGGATGCCCAACATGTTGGCACCCATACAGGGTCCGCCCTCGTCAGAGATACAAACGAGAAAACTGTTTGTCCACGTGCCCCTACGCCAAAGTTACTCTGAAAACCTACATGGAACCCTCAAAAAATGTCCATGTGATCCCCTCCTTTGATCCGGGCACCATACGTGGTGCCTGTTAGGATTCGGGCCCCCAAACACGGTGAGCTTCCCCTAAAAGGTTGAGTTCCAAACCCCAAACCCCCCAAAAAAAAAGAAAACTCGAGCCCACGAAGCCAATCGCGCGGTTCTCGTTCTCGCGCGATTCCGGGCGCGGGCGCCTCGTGCATCTTCCGCATGAGCCAAAGCTGCGGGAGCAGTCCCATCGCCTCCTGAAACCTCACGGCTCCAAACGGAGCATGGGCGCGTTTGCGTGGTCTCCCGGCTCACGGTGGCTCACGAGAAAACCCCTCTTATGTTGTTTTCGAACAAAAAAAGAACAAAACAAGTGTGTATGTATAAATATACATATATATATAATATATATATATATATGGAGATCATTTACATGGTGATTTATTCATGTCCACCAGTCGTGTCGCCATTAAAACTCACTGCGAGTTGGGAGTGGAGCTTGAATTGTGGCCCCCTTGCACAGCCAACGTGCCAAAATGGCGCTGAGCCCGGGGCATGGTGTAGGAAACCCAGATCTGCATGCTAAACCTGGCAAGATATGCGAGATGCAATCCCCGTTGCCTGCTCAAACCCTTTCAAACTGCTCCGGGCGTGTTAGCACAAGCGGTCCTATTTGGAAAAGTTGGAAACCAGCAAGCCAAACCAGGGCCCTTTATTTTTGTTCAACCAAATCAACCAAAAAGGACACCTGTGTTAGCTTTCCATCAGCGTCCAAACAGGTCACTAAAACCACTCATCGCCAGGATGAAAGAAGAAGGCCAGAACCAGCGCTGCAGGGCATGTCGCATACCTACGAAAAAAGAAAAAAGGCCGCGAAGGCGAGAGGGTGTTGTTTGGCTACCATTTCTGCTGTTCCAATTGGAAACGAATGAGTTTCACCGCAATTGGTGGGTTCGTGGGTTCCCCCTGTTCAAGACGAACCCAAGCCCAAGAACGAGTTGAGTCGGCATTATGTGCATCCTTTGCTTGACTCGCGACAGCGCACACTCTCAGGAACGGAGTAGACCTCGGCTGAGACCCAAACACCAGCTCTCAGACAAGAAAGCTGAACCAGGGCCAATCATCTCCAACCCAGCGAGCGCCAATACGACTCCGAATGCAAAGTTCGGTGTGCTTCCTTAATCTTTCTGGTGACAATGTAACATGGAAAACGGCTCTGCCAAAGCTCTGCTACACGAATGATCCTTATGCATCTCGGAGCCCCGAGTTGTAAGTCCTGCTGGGCGTCCGAATCAATGGCACCGCTGAGAACAGCCGACTCACTGAGCCCGCGGCTGCTTGGGCGCAGTGTGCAAAAATTGGTAGCACATGAAACTAAGGCCCACCGCCACGGCCTCAATCAACGCCCACTTGATTCATCCCCCGGAGACTTCGAGAAATCTACGGAAATTCGAATGACAATCTCTCGAAAGAAGGCCAGTGCGTGTCTCAAAAGAGTCGTTGGAAGCTTCTGCATGGCTTCCTTTTGGTTTCCTTTTGACATGCGGATGGACAAAAATCCTGCACCAAATGGTAGGTTTAGCAACCAGTATTCAGTATGCATCGGCTTTCATCCCTTCCAAGTGCTGCGGTTGGATTTGGTGAATCCTCGGCCAGCGGTTGGGTCCTTCAGAAAGCTTGGGAAGCGAAATGGCCATGGGCCAAAATCCCGGCTATCCCCCAGTGAACATCTCCAAAATGGGTGGTGAATTCACCGAAAACCAACCAAAACGGGATCCCAAAACGGTTTTGACCACAGCCAAATCATCCGAACGCTGGCTGGGTCGCGGGCGGTGGAAAGGCAGAGCTCTAAATAAGCAAACTTCGTCTCCACTAGCCTCGTCTCCATGGACTGCGCGGGGCAAGCCGACCGCCGACGTGCTTGGAGCCAGGTGGATCCTTTAAAACCAGGTGTCTAAACATATTTTATTTTTTTATTTTAAAACCAAGCCCTTGTGGCGGTGTCTGGATTTTGGGCACAGACCCAGATCCAATCTCCCAGTCGGTTTTGACTGGAAACTGAATGTCCAAAATCTAGCAAGCAATCCCTCCTTCAGACAACGCAGCTCCTCGTGAAAAAGTGCTGCCCGGTCCTTTGGAGGCCGCTTGCGCGTTCTTTTGCGCAGCGCTCGTGGCTCATGTCAACAGCTTGTGATCTGGGCCCTCAGATCCCCTGCAAAAAAGTTCCGACTTTTGGTTTGGATGAAACCACAAAACCCTCAGCGAAGGGACCGGACTGGGAGCCACCAAGTGAGGATGGCAATTGCATCAACAAGAAGCTAGGGAGCTGATTCCCCTATTTGATCAAAAGGTCCAGCTTTACATGGGACGACCATTGGGAGAAACCAATGAAAATGCTTTTCATGCCATTTCCCACTAATTGGGAAAAGCTACCCGTGGTGATTTGCCGGCCAGGAATATTGATCAACCTCCGTATGTGTGGCTTGGAATGACACAAATCTGGCTACGCAACAAAACTCGGCCGCGCCGCTGCCTCAAATCACTTGCCCCCCCAATTTGGTCTGCATCGTTGACCGAGCGTAAAGGTACGTCTCAGGTACGTCTTAGCCCGAATATTACATAGGTGGGTTCTGGACTGGTGGGGTGGCATCAGTGTTTCAGCTCTGACCCCACCGGCACTCGATCTGCGGGCCGTACATTGTTTCCTTGTGCTTTGCGCCGGGATTCCCATCGGGTGCCGGCTTCTGCCTCTTTTCGACATGCTCCTTTCCGCACAAAAAAAAAAAACGCAGAGCTTCCCGTAGGTGAAGTCAACTTAGCAAACCTCTCATGCAAACCCGCCAAGCCGTGGAGCAAAAGGCTTGCCATGTCGTTCTGCGGTGTAGCCAACTGCGAGCAATCCATCTGAAAGCGCTGCACGGAGCAGATCCGCGAGGAGTTCAACACCATGTTCCGGCTGATTCCGGGATCAAATGGCTACAGTGCCGCTGCAAGCAAAAAGCTGCACTTTGTCAGAAAGCGGAAGACCGTTCACAACTCAGTTGACGTTGGAAGGGGAGCAAAAAACCGAAATTTTAGCATTTAAGTGGAGATTTCCCACTAAACCACAATAAGCAAAAATGAAAAATGTTTCCCAACACCAACGTTCACGAGCATCATGGCTTCAGACCACACTTCGGCTGGCTGCATTCACGTCTCACGGGTGGGCGCACCCACACACATCTCGAGACAGACGCCAGCAGGTAGGCAGCCTCCCAAGAGTGGACTGGAAATGGAGCACTCTTTTCCCGCCAAGTCAAACAAGCGCATCATCCGTCTGCAAAGTAAACACTTTGGTCTCCACCTTGGCCCTTGGCCCAAAAACAGCGTTTGCTTCTGGCAGAAGCTCAGCCTGACCCCAAGTCTCTGGTTGACGCATGCGGCTGCAAGCGATCGTTCGCCTGGGTGTCGATACTTAGTCCATAGATGGACTTGTGCTTCCAGATCTTGTACAGCAAGATGCAAGATGCACCGAACTGCACAAAGTATCCTGAGCACTGAAGTTGTTCAAATGGCGAATCGAAGTTCTTGTTACGCGAAAGTAAGCAACACCCCTCGGGCTGCGGCCCACAAGAAAGAGGAAAATCTCCATGACACCTCAGAATGGGCAAAGACAAAGAATGTAGTCCTTCAAAATGCACAGGACTTCGGCTGAGCAAAACCTGGCTGCATCCATGGCATCTCAGCTCCGGACCTTTCCAGCTCCAGGGGATCCAAATCCCCCCCACACCCCGTCTTACGAAAGACTGTCGGGGCCGGGCGGGGCGCCTGAGCCTAAAGCCACGCAGGTTAAGCAGTTCGGTCGGGCGATTCCCGAATCGGCCGAGCCGGTCGATGGCGGGTCGCTTGTTTGGAGTCGGTACTCCCGTTTTTTTCAGCAGGTGTCAAGGGGAACCAAAAGGAAAACACGATGTGTTTGTTGTTGTTTTGACGGTACCAAAGTCCTGGGTGGTGCTCAGGGGAACACGGAAGGACAAAAACGTCGATTTTGGGAGGAGCGCCAAAGCATCACACACACGCGCACACACACACACACACTTGTGGTTTGTTGAGGGACGACAAAATGCCACCCTCAAATCACCGCCCACATCTCGGCACCGAGAAACTACGTGGCTCCGACTCGGCGAGCGATCCGCGAGGCGCAACCTTTTTCGTTTATTTTGTGTTTTTTGCTTTTGTTGGAAGCGCCTGCCGTCGCACCTCACAACTCCCCTGATCGAATGATCCGCCACCTCATCCTCCTGCGCCCATTTAGTCATAGTCGACAGCTTCACCATTGCCTCCTCACGTAGCAAGCGCGAGACGCAACCGAACCAGTGACGCTCGGTGGACGGCCTCTCCATGAAGAATGCAACGCTTTCAATCTATGCGCAAAATGGCCGGGGGCGTTTGCAAAATCCGAGCTCTTCTCATCAGGAGGCCCAAATCCTAACGCCTGTCAACCGGACTTTGGTCAGCGCTCATCGACGAGAGTCGGAGGCACTCGCTCGGGAAATCCAGGCGGACGAGGTTGTGGAGCGCTTGGGTGCGTGGAGATGTTAGTTTATTGCATCAGACGAGCGAGTGGGTATTCTTGGCATCTCAACACCCCAAACTTCTCGGCAAGTGAACTCAACGCCCAAATGTAGAAATCTGGTGCATCATAACTGCTTCCGTGATTTTCAGCCCTGACAAAAAAATATCCACAGGCAGTTGATTCACAGGCTCATGCAAGGGTAACGACAATCCCCACAATGTTCTTCCTGGCCCAATGACCATAACCTTTCCGATGAGAAGGTTTTATCCTTTCGCTCACAACCCCAGCTCTCTCAACTCGACGCGCTCGATCCGGATCGAGCCTTTGCGTTCCTTATCCCTTCTTCTCTTCTCCTGTCGAATTTCTCAGGTCTGAAAAAAATATGGGGCCAACGAACCGACCATGCGCATCTTTGTCCGCGGATTGTGGCACATGTGCCAAAGACATGATTGAGCTCCTCGAATGGTCCATCCGGCCAGTTCCAAACCAACCGAGCAACCCTTTTCACAGTATCCACTTCTGTGTGTTTGTTTTCGTTTCTACCCCGCTTTTTGTGGTTCTAAAAACAGAAAGCCATTCAGACAAAAAACTCCAGCGCCCCACTTGTCGGGAGGTCATCCTCCAAAAAAAGGAAGGACCCACCCTGAAACCGACCCACCGACCGGATCGGGAGATCGGCTCGCCTCGAGCTTCCGGCGCTTCTTCTCCTGCTGGGCCTCCACCGCTGGCCTCAGCACATCCTCCAGCGCCACCAAAGCCGCCTGGAGGCCGCCCGGGGCCGCCCGGTACCAGACCCAAAAACCTCTAAAAATGTCAGGCCCCAAAAATCACCATGTTTTTTGGGTGTGCTTTTTTTCCTGGAAACACAATGTTCCACCAGGGCACGACAAATCTACAGGTTTTGAGTCTCTAGGTAAAGTGGAAAATGGTCCGAACCGGGACCGATTTCCCCGAACGTCGGGGTCGATGTGAATCGGTGGGAGGGTAAGAATGGGCTTGGGACGTGACAGCAGTGGTAAAGAGCCAGGACGAAAATGAACATGTGCCTGTACAGCCAAGGCGCGCTTGTTGGGAAAGACCCCTACCCTCTGCGCATGCCGTACAGACATTTGCGGTTACCCGAATAGTTGACCCAGGTGCACTGTAGCGAAGACAGCCAATATTGCAAGCATAATTTGGGGTTGGGACGCGGCAAAAGGCGAAGACAATGGAGGCGCAACCCTGAAGCCGCGAACGCGAAGCCGCCTCTGCAGCTGACTGCTCCGCCTCCTTCTTGCTTGCAGCTGGTTGCCCCGCGAAGGTCTGATTGTCGTAGCACACCACGCAAACCGAGGACTGGTATACGCCCTCCACCTTGATCAAGAATCAGAAGCTCCGAACGCGGGGTGAGAAGGGGAAACCGCCCAAAACGATTTGACCTCTCCCGCTGCATGGGCAAATCTACCCATTTAATGACCGAAGAGAATACAAAAATCCAGCGCCCCACCTGGTCGGTATGATACGCGATGCAATCCTTGGAGATCTCCCTGTCCACCAGCAATCGCAACTGCTCCTCGGAGAAGAAAAGGTCGCGAAAGGCAAGTCAAAGGCAAGTCTGAGGGACAGGGTTCTACTTTTTGAGTACCCCAAGATAGACTTAAACCCAGGGGTTCTCGTTTTGGGGGGAAGGAACCACCCCTGGGTTTAAGTCTACCCTGGGGTAGTTAAAAAGTAGAACCCTGCCGAGGGGACTCTACACCAAAGACATATCCGAGAAGTTCGAAAACCCAACCACCAATCCAAAACCACCAATCAACGGCACACAAAATCAGATTTGCCCAAGGCAAATGCATGAAAACATGAAAGGCCGAGACTCTTGCCCGCAAAACACTCAGCAAAAGCGCATTTTGGCACCACTTGGCCATTCTCAAAATGGGGCACACCACCCCCCAAAACCAATCTCGGTTGCGAAATCTGCTCCCCTGCTAAAAGTGACTAACTTTTGGTGGTTTAATGCGGAAAACCCACAAGTTCGCAAAAAGTTGTTCAGTCCCAACATCCCAGCAAGAACCGCCACCCCAAACCCAATTTCATCAAAATGCGAGCGCCAAGGAGCGTTGAGCTTCTGCTTGGGGCTCACTACCGCCTCCTCCGCGTTCCTCTTCACCCCTCGCTCCGGAAATGTCTCGGGCTCCTGCTTCACCTTCGCAAAGGTCATGGCAACTGCGTCCTCGGAAGAGCGCGGTGTTGCTGAGTCTGCCCTCCCTCCCAACGCACCCGACATGTGTTTGGCAAAACACCAGATACACATCCTTGGCAAATTTGTTTGGGAAGACTGCTTGTAAGAGCCAAGATCCAAGCCGCTACAAGCATCCCATTTGACTCCTTTGATGTTGTTTGCTATTTGCTTACTGGCCACGAAGGCACCTCCCTCCATCCCTCGCCTCGCCTCCCCTGGCCTCCACTCCCTCCCCCCGTCACCCCAAGAACCCATGGCAAAGCCACCACCAGGGTTGGGCAACTTTGACGTGCCAACTCAACGACCCTTTCAGCAACATGCTTGAAACCAGGAAACCCAAAGACTCCATTTCAACCGCCCCCACGTCTTTCTCCGAAATGTGTGGGATTATTTTCCGGTGGGCTCAGATTGGGTTCAGGGTCGGTTTAGGTTGGTTCAGATTGGGTTCGCTGGTAGGTGGCGCAGGGTTGGTGCGCCACTTCCGCCCTGACGACTCCGCCCCCTTGTTTGTCGGAGGCGCCCCCCCGAACTCCATGTCGAGAGCCACGCTGGCGGCCGAGTGCTCCGCCAGCTTCTTGGAGCGGCTGGGCTCGCCCTGACCGGTTGGGCACGTCCAAAAGGGGAGCCGGTCCGTGAGAATGAAACTTGAGTTGGAGACGTCCAAAAAGTTCCCAAAACGGCAAACCTAGTCTTGGTTGACCTTGGTGGAGCAAAGATTTTCAATCTTAGCGGTTAAGTGGGGATTTCCCATTTCCAGTTCTTGGATGACTCAAACCCACAAAAGCACGTCCAAAACGGGGGACCGGTCCGTGAGTACTAGAAGGAAAATCGGAAGCTCGAGTCAACCACCAACAAGTCGCGCCACGGCTTATTCCGGGGAGATGAAATGGGATGTTCTTTCGGCTCACACGTCAAATCAAAACGGCCTTCCAATCAGGTGGCCTAGACTCGAAAGCAATGATGAAAATAGACAATGTCGTTGGGCGGACGGCCCACATGTGACGAACCCATGCCGAACGAAACTCTTGGACTAGCACCAGATCAACAATCAAATGGCTTATCTTAGCCATTTGCCAGGGCAAGCCATCTTGGGGTTGCCCTATTCTTCACTTATGGGGGTTGGGGGGGAAGGGAGGGGAGGGGGAGGGAGCCCAAATAAGCTCTCAATATGGCCTTATTTAGGGCTTATTTGAGATCCCCCCCTCCCCTCCCTGCCCCCCGGTCCCCATGATTTCCCCCACAGCAGGGTCGAGAAAAAAAAAAAAAAAAGACGCACGACGCAGACGTAGGCGCCTTGTAGGGTCCACCGCGGAAGTCTATGGCGCTCACCGTGGCGGTGAAGATACTCGCGCCGTCCGCCGCCTTGTCCTCCACGGTGTAGACGATCTCGTTCTTCTCCAAGGGCCGCCTCACCTGACTTGACGGCCGTTTGCTTTTGGGGCCTTCTCCTTCTTTCCCGCTCCCCCCAACAAATGAGACCAAAAGGTAGTGAGACCAAAAGAGAAAACCAAAGGGCCGAAGAAATGAAAGAGAAACCAACTGAGAGGTTTATGAGACCAAAGGGCCAAAGAAAAAAACGAACAAATCGGGGCGCCAAAAAAACAAGAGACTCGGGCGGAGTTGGGTAAAGGTCCTCGGGAAGGCAAAGACTTTGCTGCTCAGTGCCTACCACGTTCGGCTGCCCGCATGTCATTGGTGCCGAGTGTGCCCTTATCATTGGTGATTTGTTTCCTGATTGCTAGGGGGGTGCGGGTGGATGTGTCTGTGGAGGTGCGCATGTGTGTGTGTGTGTGTGCTTTGCGCTGGTACCAAGCGCGATGATTAACGGGGGATTCGGAAAATGCCAAGCATGATCGTGGTGAGGATGCAGTGGAACGTGTGTGCGTGTGTGCTAATCGTTGTTGCCAAGCCAGCTCCTTGGTGGGGGCGGGGGGGGCAAAGGCAGGATGTGCGGCGCACGAGCAAGACAAGGTGCTGTTGCTCAAAGCTTCTGCAATGGGGTTCCATAACTCAACAGCTTAGAAAACATTCAACTCAACTGAGAAACCAAATAGGGGCCCCTCTTTTGGCTGGTTTCAATTGAATTTGGAAGGCACCCCAACCAACCAACCATTTTGAGGGGTCCCGATTTGGGAGGACAACACTGTCTCGTGACTGACGGCTCAGCCTGCTTGGAGTAGAGCTGGCTGAGCTTCCCGATCCAGTTCTCCTTCACCTCCGCCACGGCCACAGAACTCACCGCCTCGGGCTGGTGCTGCAGGAACTCGCAGCGCATCTGCAGCGCGGACTGCCAGAGCCTCGCACGGACTCTTGGAACCTCACCCAACCCATGGCGTGGAAGCAAAAACTCTGGCAGCTCCATGCGACTTCGGATGCCAAAGAAAAAATCCGCGACATCGAAATGAAGAAGCATCGTCTCGGTGAAATGTGGACTAAGGCTAGAAGTGTTGGTCTTTGGGGAGCAAAGCGGCCTTAATCAATCCAAGACCATTGGAATGGAATTCCAAGGTACCAAAGTGGTTGATTCCCTGGACTGCTTTGTCACTTTGAAAGCATTCCCTGGGTACAGAAAGTGGCAACCTAAGCCCCGGTGTCTCTAAATGCGTGGTGTCCCATTGGAAAACCAACCCCAAAAGGGCAGTTAAAACCCCCCCAAGAAGGGATACCAACTCCAAACAAGACAAACCCACAGAGACCCCTAACCCTCCCCAACAAAAAACAAAAAACAAACGCGCCAACTCCCAAAAGAACACCCAGACAAAACCCCCACCTCCCCGCCACCAGCACGCCCTTTTCGACCCCCCCACCGCTCCTCCACCGCCCCCCCGCCCCACCCCACCCCCCGACCGACCGACGACCCCCCTCCCCCCCCCCCCCCCTTGCGCCTCTCCACGGAGTCGGTGCTCACCGACAAGTCCACAAAGGCGTCAGCCACCGCCTGCATCGACTTCTGCAGCTCCAGGTGCCACAAGTCCAGCCGCTCCTGCAGCGAAACCCACACCGAAAACACAAAGAAAAACACGGGCCAAACGCGGGCCAAACCGCCAAAAAAATGGGAAGCTGAAGAAAACACGGAAGGAAGGAAGGAAGGAAGGAAGGAAGGAAGGAAGGAAGGAAGGAAGGAAGGAAGGAAGGAAGGAAGGAAGGAAGGAAGGAAGGAAGGAAGGAAGGAAGGAGGAAGGAAGGAAGGAAGGAAGGAAGGAAGGAAGGGAGACAACACGGAAAATGCGGGACAGAAGAAGAAGAAAAAGGAAAGACGCGGGTTTTTGTTGCTTGTTGATCCATGCTTTGTGTAAGTTGGTAACCAAGAAGGCGACTTTCAGCTCACCTTGATTTAATTGACAGTTTCTGTCACCTTTATGCAAGACTTGTGTCAGGCATTTGAAAACGGCACACACGTGCCTGTGTAGTTGTGTCTGGGTGCTTTTGTAGCTGTTTGTCTGCGTCTGTGTGTCTGTGTCTCTGTGTGTCTGTGTGTGCGAGCGTGTGTCTCTGTGACTGTCTCTCTGCCTCTCTCTGTCCCTCTCTCTCTGTCGTGTGCTGCGTGTGTCGGCTGCGGCGGCCGCCGGAGGAAGGCGGCCGGGGGGCGCCGGGCCAAAGGCGGCCGCTCCATGGCCGGCGACTAAGAACCCAACGAGCGTCAAGGCGACAGTGAACCCAACGGCCTCTCAGTGCTTGAGGATAAATCGGTCTAGGCAAGTGGTGTAAAGGTCGTCAGATGCAAAGGCGAAAAAGAAGAGTCAGCTTGGACAGGGAGCTGTGCGTGATCTGAATGAGTAGTGCCTGGCATTTGTGTTTCTTGATTTGAGCCAGTGTTGGCTACGGCCTCTGACATTGCTTGAATACGAGCCAAGCAAAGGTGGCCGCTTGGTGTCTCAAAAAAGCGAAGTTGGCCAAATGTCCAGGGTGGCAGAAGTGAAACTCCGCACGCCCGCCAGCCTGCCCACAGACCCACGCACGCACACGCATACGCACAAAGTGACACACAACGACCCAACAGAGACAGACAGACAGACAGACGGACAGACGGACGGACGGACGGACGGACGGACAGACAGACAGACAGACAGCCAGCCAGACATACAGACAGACAGACACAGAGGGACGAACGGACAGACAGACAAACAAACAGACAGAGGGACGAACAGACAGAGCAACAAACAGACAGACAGACAGACAGAAAAACAAACAAAAACAAACGAACAAGCAAGCGAATGAACGAGCAAACAAACAAACAAACCAACAAACAAACAAACAAACAAACAAACAAACAAACAAACAAGCAAACAAAAAACAAACAAACAAACAAATAAACCAACAAACAAGCCAAACCAAACCAAACCAACAAACACACGCACACACGCAAACAAACAAACACACAAACAAACAAGCTAACAAGCAAACAACCAAGCAAACAAGCCAGCAAGCGAGCGAGCCAGCAAGCGAGCGAGCTGGCAAGCGGGCAAACAAACAAACGAACAAACAAACAATCAAAAACAGCAAACCTAGCGAAACACCAACCAACCAACAAACCAACCAACCAACCCAACCCAACCCAACCCAACCCAACCCAACCCAACCCAACCCAACCCAACCCAACCCAACCCAACCCAACCCAACCATCCAACCAACCCAACCCAACCATCCAACCAACCCAACCCAACCCAACCCAACCCAACCCAACCATCCAACCCAACCCAACCCAACCCAACCCAACCCAACCCAACCCAACCCAACCCAACCCAACCCAACCCAACCCAACCCAACCCAACCCAACCCAACCAACCCAACCCAACCACGCGCGATGCAGCCACGCAGACTTTTGCTTTCACTCAAAAGCCGCAGGGTTCAGCATCATCCACCGAATTCTCCTCTTGGCACACCGCTCTCCTGGCCGATTTCGGTTCGAGTATGCGCAGAAAAAAGGGGCGACAGCCACGGCCACGCCGCTCCGCGCGCTGGCCTCAGATCCTCGAGGCCGGCCTTGCCCTCTGCAAACCCGAAGCGGGAGAGCAACTCCTCGAAGCCCGGAACCTGCATTGGGTGGCAACCCTCACGTGAAGAAGCTTCTCCACTCAGTGAGCAGCATCCTGAGAGGGGCATAGCATGCACCGAAAGCTCTTCTCTGATGGCATTATCAAATCCCTCAATGGCAAGACCTCGTTCATTCCCGCACCTTCTCGTCAATGTCATTCCACCTGAGAACTAGGCGGTGCGCTTTACAACTCTCAGACGCCACTGGAAACCAGGTTGGTACTCAGAAGCTGCGTCCTTTGCTTGCCACCAGTTATGTCGCTTCCAAGCGATTCATCCTCCAGAGCAATGCCCCTTCATGGGAGTTGATGGCTTGTAGCGCAAACTCCGTGGATTTTGGGCATTTGAACAATCACAAACAACCAACACTTGAAGAACAGCCTCGTTCTGTCTGGCATAATTCACCAAACTGACGCATTCTGAACTCCGAACATGTCAGAGCCATGCTTGTGGAACACATGAGAGTTGATCAATACTCCTGGCCCCAAAATAACGATGGGTACGTTTGCCCAGTACGTGGGAAATAGCGTCTTTCTTGTGTCTTCCCTCAACCCCCCCATCATTTATTGCACTTGATGCCACCTCTCCCGCCCCCCCCCCCCCTGTTTCCTACTCACCAGGGGTGACTCAAGATCGTGCGGCGTTTGCTCCCTGCGTCTCATCCTTGTTTTGCATTATCCTGTCTAAAGGATTCCTCAGTGGAAAACAAACTACGCAGTTGAGAAAAAGCGAGATTGGATGTTTGTTCTTGTGTTTCAAGTTAAGTTGGGCGGCAATGACAAAGCGATCTCACTGAGCTTGACCCACAAAAGCAACACAAGCAAGAGCGATGTCTGAAACGCTCTACCCTAGAAGTCATATTAAGTCTTGCAGTTTCGTGAGGGTTATGTTGAGCTGTTCCTGATTTTACGGATTTGGCATAGAGATGCCAACCGCAAGATAAACGGTCCAATGGCAGGAAAAGGGACTACCGAAGTGCAAGTCAACAACCACAGTCTCCCCAAGCCCGCCTATGCCCTTCATGTGTTTGTGAAGCAAAGTGCGTGCCAGCGCTTGTCCATGTTTCCGATGGATTCCCAGCTACTGCTGTGTGTGTACATGTTTTTCTTAGGGGACCCCCCGCAAAAACAAAAACGCGCAACGCTCATAATCAAACCGCCAAAAAGGGGTGCCAACCCCAAAAAAGCCACGCGCCGCCCATATGCTGACCATTCGGATTCGACCCTCTCCACGCCTCTCTTCACCCAGCTCTTGCTTGAGCAGCTGCTGAGCGTCGGAACCGAATGCCTCAGATCCCGGCAGCGATGAAAGTTCTCCCGCTCCAAGGAGAAGGGTACCCAAGGAACAGCAAAAAAGTTGAGTCTCTGGTTTGGCGTCCTTCCATCTCTCTCCGTGGTTGTCTAGCCCTCCAAACGCCTCAAACCATATTGGCCAATGAGCCCTGCACAGCTTGTCAATTGCTCAAAGCGTTCGCATCAACATCGAGGTTGGTCTCCAGCAGCCATGATTATGCCCAAAACGTAAGGCAAATGGGTGGCTCAGAACTAAGCTGCTGGAACAAACCGCAGGTGTTCCTCTTTTCCAGAAAGCAAAAAGCTGGAACAAACCGCGGGTGTTCCTCCTTTCCTGCAAACAAAAAACCAAAAAGGCACCAAGTGTCATTTTTGGGGGCTCCAATTCTTTCCAGCCGCCAAAGACACGCCGGCCGCCGGAAAAAACCTCCGCCAGGGCAAGCCTTTGGCCGAGCCGCGGCCCGGCGCTGGCGGCGGAAGGCCTCCGTGGCGTTGGGCGCCGGCGCCGGCGTCGCGTTGCCGACGGACCTCGGCTGGGAGTCCTCTGGATTGTCAGTTGTAGAGGCGCGAAAGAAGAAAATCAAAGATTGAAATGCTTAACGAGAGGATTTTTAGGAGCCGAACAAAGAGACGCAAATAATTCCAATTTATCAAAGGTCTGGAGAACCATGGATGTCGAAACAAACCTCGTAAGCTCGAAGAAGATCCTGGAATGAAGTCTGGAGTTCGATCAAGCTCATGGGGTTGAAAGACACGGT